GAATCGAAATTAAAATCTCCCATTAATAATCGTGTTACATTTGGACGATTCATTGCATATCTATTGAATACAGATTGACAAGTTTGTAATTGATGTGATCGAATAGTTTCTTTATCTCGTTTTGATTCTAAATGTACAGTACCGACTAATAATTTTTCTGTTTTCAATTGAATTTCAGCAAATAATAATTGTCTTCCTTGTTCAGTATGATATGGAAATGATAGAAGTCGTCGTAAATATAAAGATTTATCAATTAACATTACTACACCATAACTTTCTTGTCCATTTAAAAATGTACTTCCATCAATATCACTTACGAAATAATGTTGTTGTACCCATGGTTGAGATATTAATTGTTCTAATATTGGTTTTGTCACTGAAATATTTATTATAAGTTGAAAGCGAGATATTATTGATAGTTTATTTACCTTCTTGTAAACATATAATATGTGCTTTTGATTGTTGTAGAAGAGGAGAAAGACTTTGAAAACGTAATTGTTGATGCTCTTGATTAAACCAAATATTATATGTAATAGTTCGAAGAAATCGTTGTACTTTTGGTTTTTTATAATGATGTGCTGTTGGATCTTGAGATCTCCATTGACGTTTCACTGTATCATAATGCCAGATTGGTAAAGTTTGAGGATGTTGAGCTAAGATAATATACAAGATCAATTAAATACATTAATGTATACTATCGGTTCAGAAACTCAATAGATGCACTTATATTAGAGTAGGATAAGTTAAAAAGTGATATAATTAATCACCTGAAATAAAATGTTGTAACTGATCTAAAGAAAACTAATGTAGAAATATAGTTCATACGTACCCATAATGTCAACTATTGTCAATATAAAAGACTGAAGATGCTAATAATATCTAAAATAATAATTTAGTATGATAAAATTGATAGTCAGTTGTTTTCTCTTCTATTCCATCATAATCTATTTCATTTCCCTAATATTTAAGCTGAATTTCACAAGTCGATTATTATGAAAATTAACCACCAAGACTTGCCATGAATAATTTCAAACATAATATTATTTATCGGAAAAGTATTTCTTTAGAAATCCAGTAAAACATTTTACCTATAGAATACGCTCGATTTCAAAGAGACTACTGAATAAAATATAATTAAGAATGGGAATTAATATAAAACATACCTTTAATGATTTTATTTTTGAAATCACCGCAGCAAAAATATGTGTTTGAAATCAGATAAATATATTTTAATGATGCGCAATTATTTATAAATGCATGTATGGTCCTATTTGCTTCTTTCATCAAATGATTTGCTTCTTAATTTTATAATGTGACAAAACATTACCATTCATTTCTACTTTTTTTTCAAAAAAAAATTATACAAACTTGATTGATAATAAGTGTATAGATGAAAAGAAAAATAAAGTAATGATAAATAGAAAAATAAATTATACATAATAAAAAAAATTATTGATTTATTATAGTCCAACCAAGACGTATGATGACTTTTTGAATGAATCAAGAGCGGATAGATGACTGGAGATCTGCGGTTTTCACCAGCCGAATGAGGTGATACGAAAACGTCTTTTTCTTCAATATAAGAGCAGATAAAAATTAAGAATTCTGTTACTCTGTACAGAATATTGGTCATCGCACAAGATTCAACTAAAATCTAAATAATTCTGTGAATAGTTTTCAAAATATACGTATCTTATGTATGAAACAATTGCGCTTGTGGAAACTATATAAGTATGATTTACTACATATTATTATCTCTGACGCCTGCCTATAAAATCATGTTTTCTGACATATCAAATCTGTAAATAATTATTCAATACACTACAGTGTTACATACATGTCTTAGATCAAAAGCGATTTATTCATAGTTCAAGAGACGCACTTTTGTAGTAATAGAAAAAGAAGAAAGAATACAATATGTGTATTTCATTCTACCAACCCACATAATTTCATAAAAATATCTTACAATATGGTTGAAATATAAGATTTATTTTCACTACTCTAAAAACATCAGTTTTTTTCATATTTTATATGTATATAATAAATTGTAGATTGTTATACTACATATTAAATGATGATAAAATTATTTCATTTTTTATGTCACAATAACTATGATCTAATGCTACCAATTAGCACTCAATAATAATAATTCTTATCAAAATTATGATAGTAACTATATAACGATTAAATAACAAAAAAAAGATTTTTTTTTATGAAAAAATATATCTTCTTTATTACTTTTGAATTGTTCTAAACTTATGAAATTCCGATAATATAAATTATCATTTCAACTTTTTCTTCATTCAACCGAAAAAAAACCATAACAAAAATAATATTTTTATATATCTCTTTTGAATATACTTTATAACAGAATAGAATTATTACATGTCATGAATGTCATACAAGCAGAATAAAAAAAACCATCTTAGTCTTAAAATGAAGTGTCATAATCGATACCAAGCTGTAACAGAAACAATAATATCGCATAGCAGTTTGTTATTCTATCGAAATATGTACGGATACAGTTCTTTGAATGAGAAAGAAGGAAAAATGACATTTCTCTATATCTCTGCGACATATACATTAATCAGATATTATCGATGGCATTTCTTCGAACAGCTGTATTTAAATGAATGTATCTGGCAGTAGAAAATAATCTTTCGATCATCTGATCTCTCAAGTCTAGCGTCTGTCTCTCTCTATATATATACCACTATTTATATAACTATATCAAATAGAATACTTTCGTTGTTTTGAGATTTTATCATTAATACAAGAACAATTTCTCTTAATAAATTCTGTCATTTATATTTTAGATCATGTTTTCCAAATTAACGTATAAAATTTTATTATGCTTGGCGTTATTGACAGTTGTAGATGGTTTAGTAAGTAGTGAATGAAATGAATACATTGTCGTCTACTATATTTTATGAATTCTTAGTTTCGACCAGCCAAGAAACCAGATAAGAGATGTTCGATGCCTAGTGGTCGATCATGTACAGCACTAACAACTAAGCAAATGGCAAAGCAAGGCTTAGCAGTATATTTTAAATTTCCTTGCAGCGGAATTGGATGTCATTTTTATCGACCATATTGTCGTATTTGTGCTAATAATACAAAAAAAGTGGGTAAACCATATGTTGCTTGTCCACCTTGTATGGCTAATGTAACCCCAACAACGTTACAAAATCAAACAAAGAATGAATATAAATGTTTTATGCCTCGTGATCGATCATGTTCATCGTTAACTCCATCGGTAACAAAATCTCAAGGTTTAAGATTATATTATGAATATCCTTGTCGTGGACTTGGATGTGGTTTTAAACGACCATATTGCCGACTTTGTGTAATAGATCGTATAAAAAATCTTGCTCCCTATCCTAAATGTCCAGCATGTATGACTTAACCAATAATGTACCGATTATAAATCATAGATAGAACATATAATGTTCGTTTCTAATCTTTACCTTTTATATGCTTCTATGAACCGCTTTTCTAAACGTTATTAGTTAGATATGTATATTTTAGTATTTTCTTTCTACTTGTTAGCACTAAAAGAGCAAACAAGGGCAAGAAGTAAATAAATAAATAAATTTAATTGTTTAAAAGAACACTGAAAATTCTTTCGAATGACAAAAATTATGAAGAAGAAATTCATTTAGTACAAGATTATCATTATTGTTAACTCATTAATTGGTTATATAAAATACCTTACAATCAAACTTGCATTTGATCATCTACATGTTCTTCATTATGATACAAAGCAATTTTGTTACTTCTAAGTTGTTGTTCAAAATCTCTTGTATTTACTCTGTAATATACGTTGATTTAAACTGATCAGATTTGTAAATAAATTTCGGAGAAGACTAGTATCTAATTCAATCATATGCATGAAATGAAGATGTTTCAAATGAGGACGAGAGTCTGCTAAATGATACAGAAATGTATGATAACAAAACATATATATATGTCTCTTGTTCATGATAATCGTTTTGTAAATCTCATACTGTTATAAAATGTTAAATACTACATGGAGATAACTCAGTCAATTTCCAATGATAAAAAAAACATGGGAATCAAATTAATAGGTACGAGTACTTTTTTTTTCTTAAAATAATTTTTTAACCATCCAATAGACATGTGAGAAGTTGAGGACGTGCAGCTGAATGTATGAACAAATGAAAGATCATCATTCTCATATTATAATCATTTTTTAGTTAAATTAGTAATCAACAATTTTAATTGAACTATTATTTATTAAAGAAAATAACTACTTTTTATCGCTACTATCTTTAAAGAGCATTGAATTTTTGTATTCTATAATTATTAGCATCTGCTACATATAAATTGCCATCTTTATCCAAAGCAATTCCTCTTGGTGTATTCAATTGATTTGCTGCAGAACCAGCTGTACCATTTCCTGCTACTGTCTGACCTGTGCTTGCACCTATATTCCATTTTTGTACACGATGATTATTTGTATCACAAACTAAAACATTTCCTTGACTATCAACTGCCACACCTAAAGGTAAATTAAATTGACTTGAATTCGATCCCATGCCATAACCTCCAGCAATTGTAACACCCGATGTAGCTCCTTGTCGCCATTTTTGAACACGATAATTACTAGAATCGGTTATATAGAGTGCATAGTTAGAGTCTATAAAAACACGTTTTGGTGCATGCAGTTGATTCGCACTGCTTCCAGCTCCTTGTCCACCAGCAACAGTCTCATTTGTAAGCCACTTATAAATACGATTGTTGTTTGAATCCGTAATATAAATTGTTCCATTTGGATCTAAATAAATTGCATTAACGTTTTTTGATACACTCGATGGTACACCAGTTATATTTACACCCGTTGTTGAACCATTTGCGAAAAACATTACACGATAATTGGATTCATCAGCAACATAGATATCGCCTGTTTTTGAATTCACATATAGACTAGGTGGTGCATTTAATTGCCCACTGGCTGTATGAAAAATAGATGAAGATGCTAAACCGTTTGGATTTGGTGGCCATTTGGATATTCTATTGTTACCTTTTTCCGCAATATAAATATAATATTGATCATCAACAAATACACTATATGGATTCAAAGTAGCATTGATTCCATTACCTGCAACAGTTAAAGCAGTCCTATTCCATACTGATTCGCCTACTTTCGTTGTAGTAATATCGACTGATTTAGTGCTAGTTATAATTGAAGTTATCAATGTTGTTGGCATATAAGAAGTTAATTCTGCTGTTGTAAGTAAATTTTGTACTATATAGCACAAAAATCATACTAGTATAAATAATCTTCACATTCTGTAGATCATATCTTACCTGATGGTTGATTATTGAAACAGAATTGTACTTGCATATTCACTTCTGTTGTATAGCTGGTGTTAAAATTTTTAAATAGTCCGCATGTTTGATTATTTGTATAGTAATTAAAACCAGTATAATTATACATCGCTAGATAACATGCACATTGATTGAATGTAAAGTTTAGTTGTATTAGTTTTGTATCGTTTGAGATAAACGTTACATTTGATATACATCCTAATCGTATGGCTGATGTTTGAAGTAGAAATAAAAATATAAGATAAATATGCAACATATTCCAATATAAATTTGTAAGTTTCTGATGGGATTCTAGTTTATTATATAGAAAATAGGAGAACACCGGAAGAAAAAAATTATCCTTTTTTTTTTGTTGTTCTGTTAGACAATAAATTGTAGAAATATTTTTTAATCAAACTAAAATAAATACTCAAAAAAAATCAATTATATGTAACTGACGTCATGTTAAAGAAAATTTCTATTCTACAAATATAGGTTACCGTACGATCAGAAGTAAAAAAAAACATTTTCATGTTTATTTGTATTCTTTATAATCAAATAGAACGGACATAATGTGACTTCTACGTTTAAATAAAAGTATAATTAAAACTGTAGGCAAAGCTAGAGATTTAATACTTTTATTTATCCGAAAGTAACATCCGGCTTTGATAAAAACTCGTTCTAAATGAAATTTTGCGAGAACTTCAGACTTGAAAAAGTCTTCATTGGCAAAAATTGTTGAAAAGTAAAGAAAATTGAAAATCATGTGAATGACTGCCGAGTTTTAGTTTCTACATTTAGTATTGTTACTCATAAATTATCGCAAGAGACGATAAATTCAACTTCGTAATTCCTATTGACGCCAAAATACGTTCATTCTAACCACGCAAACCTAATGTGCCTACTCACATCATATTGCCAAAAACCATTTTCTTCTTTATTAGACATTTGCGCATTTACGAATATCACATTAAAGTGTAATTAAATATATACATCTATAGATTTTTCTAGTAATACTTTAAGAAGTTATAAGAAAAGGTAAAAGCGTATATTAACGTCATTATATTTTAGTACATTTGTTTATTATTAAAGTCTTACACGAGTTTTTTTTTGTTAACAATAATCTACAAAAAAAAATGTCAATGAATGTATCAACAACGAACATCACGTCAACTCAAGTATCGAATACAATCGTCATTCTCAATCTTCTCATGAATCAATTTGTGAATTATCTTCCATTAATATTCATCATTCTTGGTTTTATTGGATTTATTGGTAATGCTTTAACATTTCTTCAATTTGAACTTCGATCTAATACATGTTGTATATATTCACTTTGCGGTTCTATTGTTGATATTATCAGTCTTTTTTACAATGTATTACCGCTCTATCTAAATACAATTTATAAAATATATATTCCGTGGATCAATATGAGCAGTCTATGTAAATTCCATATTTTTATAGTTGTATTTCTTCCTCATTTATCGATTAATTTTTTATTAATGTCTATTATTGATCGATATGCTAGTACATGTAAATTAACATCATCTATACGTCATCTTAGTAAAATTAAGATGGTACCATATTTGAGTGGTATTACTGTTATTTTCAGTTGTCTTGCTTCACTTCGTGGAATTATTCTTTATGAAAATACATCATCAGGATGTATCGTAACATATCCGTTACTCAATAATATTCTATATATTGTACTCAATTGTGTCATGCAACCAGTAGCAATGCTTATATTCGTCGTACTTACATTTCAAAATGTTCAACAGAGTCGCCAACGAGCAGTAAACTTTTTTAATTTTCTTTGAAAATCAATAATAATAGTTATTTATTTTAGGGCGGAACAAATACAACCTATTTGCATCACTCTCGAAAACAATTCATTACTATGATATTTACACAAGTAATAGTGACAGCATCCATTTTATTACCATGGGCAATTATGTATATGTATAATAATATTTCAGCTAATATTACGAAAACTTCAGAACAACAAACTATTATTAATTTTGTTTATTGGCTTACCAATTACTGGTTCTATCTTAATAATGTTAAATCATTTTATCTATCAATATTAACATCGCGTCTATTTCGACAAACATTCCTTAAAGCGTTAATCAGATTATTACCTCATGATTGCAAATATCAATGACAAATACCTTCATGATGGTTGCCATACAAAGCAATCAACGACATGCAATAGAACCAGAATGTATACGAAATAGTTCTACGATGTTTCATTTTTTTTTGTCATATTTGAATATTATTTTTGTAATAAATTATTAATTACAAAGAATATTTTTTAAAAGCTTCCAGTCATCATTACTCATCAAACGATATCTCGAGGGTGCGAGTAAATGTTATATAAATGCATCGTCTGTCTTAATCACAGTAATTTTTATATGTGATACAAAAACGAATGGTAACAAAAATCGATATTACATATACTAATCGACTTTGAAACGGTTAAAGTCCAGTATATTCGATTAAAGTCAATAACTATTATCTTTTTGTACTTTGCACTTTCTTTCAATATAAAATCAGAGGAACGAAGTTAAAGAATATTCTTCTCCCTCGTTAACAAATACAATAGATAAAAATATATCGACGTAGAAGAAACGAATTCGATAAGAAAAAAACAAGTCAATATTTCGTTATGAGAATATAAACAGATGGCAGATAAATTTTTTTTCAATACCTATAAAATAAGAAAATATTTTTGATATCAATGCTCTATTATTCAGAGAAAAAGAAAACACCACTATGGAATATTTACGACACCTCCTTATTCTCTGTTTACTTGGTTATGTTAGTTCATCAGTAACAGTCCAAGAATATGTTGATAAATTATTAGTCAATACAAATAATAAAATCGCAACAATTGAAAGTAATCCTGAATTAGTCAATCGTATTTATCATTATTTTAAAGAACAATATTCACAAGAACATACAAATAAATTAGTTGATTTCAAACGATCAAAACGTGTTGAAATATTTAAATCAAATTTAAAATATGTTATTGAACATAATGAAAATCCTTCGACAACATTTAAATTGAAACTCAATGAAATGAGTGATTGGACAGATAGTGAAAGAGATCAATTACGTACAAATATTCAAAATGGACCAGTTAATACTAAAGAACCAGTTGAATCACGTGATGAAATTATTGTACCAGATGAATTTGATTGGATAAATCAAACACGTGTACCATATGCAGTTACACCTGTTAAAAATCAACGTCATTGTGGTTCATGTTATGCATTTGCTATGGTTGGAGCTTTAGAAAAAACTTATGCAGAATTATATAATCAATCAGGTCCATTAAGTCCACAAGAATTAATTGATTGTTCCGATGCTAATGGTTGTGAAGGAGGAAGTTTTGAAGATACATTTAATTATATTCAAAGAAATGGTGACAAAATTAGTTTAGAAAAAGATTATCCATCAACATCTGATGGTAAACAAAATGAAAAATGTCTTCGAACAAATCAAACAACTCTTTCATTGAATCCAAAATATCGACTTCAATATGAACAATTACAAACTGAAAATGAAGATAATATGAAAAAAGTTCTTTATCATCGTGGTCCAATTTATTTTTCATTTAATTGTGGTAAACGCGAAGGAAATGATACAATGTTACGAGACGTATCAAATAAATTTGATCATTATGCATCAGGAGTTTTTGATGTTCCGGGATGTCCAACACATCGAAATATGAATCATGCACTTGTTATTGTTGGTTATGGAACAGAAAATGGTGTTGAATTTTGGAAAGTTAAAAATTCCTGGGGAGCAACATGGGGTGATCATGGTTATCTTAAAATAAAACGTAATGATAATATGTGTGGTATTGCTACTTGGCCTTATTATACTGGATTATTTTAGAAAATTTGTTTTTTTTATCAATAAATAAATATTGAATTTTTTTTTCAAATAGGAAATACTTTTTTTTTATATGAATTGATAGAAAAAAAAAGAATAAACTCGATATTTCTATTTCATATAATAGTTATCTTTAACTAATAGTATAATAATAAAGAATTGTTTATATATGTTGAAAATTATGCTGAAACAAAACGAGATGATGATATATTGAATCATATATGACAAATTCACTTCATTCGGTTTTTAACTTGCGTCCTCAAGTAGAAATCAATCCGACGAGTTACTCTGGATGTATATTTAAAACGTAAATTAAATATTGATATAACTATTACGTATTATACTAAATTAGATACTCTATTTTTATAATCCTATTTGAAAAATAATATAGGAGGATAAAAAAATAATAAATTTTTTTTTAAATAAGGAATTACGTATTTCTAATCATTAATTAAAGTTCAAAAAAGCAATTCCAGTACCGCTATACTTATTGTTTTTTTATACACTTATGGTGTAAAAACGAAATCTTAATACATACGGATATATATTTGATTACTTTTAAATTCTAAATTATTTAATAGAAGTTTAGACATAGATTTTTATTTTGTTATAATACAAGTTTTACATATAAATAATAATAATAAAATATTTATTTCTCTTATGATTTAATTATTTCATTAACATCATCTAATATAAGTAAAAGTTCAGTTTGTTCAACAACTGAATCAACATCATTCGTATGTATTGTTAAATTTTGAGCATGGCATGTTAACATACAAATAGCTCGAAGCCATAGAGTTAAATTAAGAAATTTTCTAGTAGCTTCATAAAAACCATATCTATAAATCAGATATTTCCATGTTACTTCAGCATATTTATTTTGTATTTCAAACATAATAATAGGATCGATTAAATCTAACCATATTTTTGAAGAATATACACAAGCATTTTCTGAAAAAGCAAATAATGACATTCCTAATTTGACTAATAATATATCCGGATCAATAAATTTCATTGCCCATTGATGAATATCAGTGGTACGTTTTCCATATTTTGCTTCTATAGCTTTTACAAACGTATTAAGACTATATAAATAACATTGGTGCATAGAAAATACTCCAGTCATGCATGCTACATTATCAGCAGCACTTCGAAGTATTATAGAACGATCATTAGATGATATTTTACGAAGATCACCATTTAATTGAAGATATGTTCCTGTTGTTTCATATATACATGCTAAGTATTTGTCTATAATTGTTTGATAAACAACATTATTCAATTGTAAAGTCTTGTGCATGTATTGACCAATTGATAAAATTTGAGTTTCTTCATAAGTATGATATAAATTTGAAAGAAGAGTCCATTGATTAGTTGTTAATAATGATGTATCTGATTGTAAAAGATTCAATGTTGGTAACTAGGAAAAGAAAAGAATGATTTTAAGAGTAGACTGATAGACACTTACTCGATCTGATCGATATTTCATTGGTACCATAGTTGAAATGTTTGATTTTTGTCTTGGTGGTCGAAATTTATCTGTAGTCATTCCACATTTAAAACATTTCATTAGTCGACATGCTGAACATGCAGAACGATTATTTATATTTATTTCACATTGACCATTAGAGTCACATACTAATATTCTCTGAATAAAACAATATGAGAATAGAAAAAAAATGAATTGAAACAAAATGAACTAACCTTTTTTCGATTCGCATTACGTTTAAAAAACATTTTACATGAAAAACATGAAATAACACCAAAATATGAATAATGAGCAGGTGCTTGACATATTTCACATTGATATGGAAGTATTTTTAATTTTTGATTTGTCATCATTGCTGTTGAATATAATATATAAGTTTAATTATTGAAAATTCTATCTATAGAAGTCAAACTAATTTATATTTTTCTCTATATAATTGAGAAAATTCTATTGTCGTCTAACGTGAAACAACATCAATGTTTCTTAATTCGTCTACGATCTCTTGCTCTTTCTCCAGAATAGACAAAGAAAAAATGTCGACATTTTTTTTTAGTCTTTCTTCTATATCAGATACATCTTACGGTTTTCTTCTATTATAAAATAAGAATAGAATGACCATTAAGAATATTATTATTATTAATAGGAATTATCAAGAAAAAGCATATTCACCTTTGTTAATTAATTGTGACAGAGATGAATTATATAATTCCAAGAAAATAATTATTCTACATTGACAGTTTGTTGTTATATAAAAATTAGTTTAGTTATTAAAAACTTACTTCTTCTTTTAGAGATCTTATAAACAAAAAAGCAATTATAATTCTAAAAAGAAAAAAGAAATAACGCACAAACATTTACTAAGATTAAATCTCGAAGAGTTTTTCCGTGTATAGATTAGTATTTGAGGTAAAACAGCTGTTATATACAAACAGATATGTCTATTAAAAAACAAACGACTTTGATTTCTGCATTTTGTTCAAAAAATTAATTTATATAATTGCTATTCGTTATTTCTAATAAAGAAATTATCATCGATTTATTTATAAAAAAAAGATTTGATAATAGAAAATGTCACATTATCGTTTTGACGTCATTAACTCGTTAATAATATCATTTTAATCTCTTTTTCTTTTCTTTCATAATTACTTTCATATATAGAATTATAAATAAAGACAAGCTTTTAATATAACGGTATATGATTTCCGTATTAAAACTATATATTCAATTAGTTAAGTAAAAACTCAGAAATATTTCTATTGATAAAATTTATATCATGTATACATAATAAAATTTATTTCACTATTGTAAAAAAACATAATGTTTCATTTTACCTAGAAAGTTTAGAATACTTCAAGATACATTTGGTCTTTGTATGACTGAACGATTACGTTAAAATTAATTTACTATAAATTTTAGAAACGCGATATTATGTATATTCATGCAGAAATTTCATGAATACGATTTTCTAAAAATATAATTTGAATTTATATGCTATGTTAAATTTTGATGCTCTACATATAATATAAAATTGTAAAGAATATTCTATGACATAGTGTGAAGAGACTATGAATAATTTGAATTTTTTGCTTATGAAAATACTGATAGATTATGTTTTGACTATTTCAGAGATCCGTGTTGAAAAACTATAAGCATAGATTTTTCGCTATTCATTGACTATAGAAAGTCGATTTTTGTTTATTATGTCGATGATAATCGGAAAAATTGAATTTTAAGTATGATAGATTTGAGATTACTTTGTTTAGAGATTGAAAATTAATAAATTAAATAAATATAAAAAGAGTAAAGTGCGTTGGCCGGGAGTCGAACGCGGGTCGGCTGCTTGGAAGGCAACCATGCTAACCGTTACACCGCCAACGCTTGTGTCATTTTATACTGATGTAAAGAATTTTTTTGACTAGATCGCCACTGATAAATTGTTTTTTCCTTGCGAAGATGGTATACACGATAGAGTTAAGCAATATTCTTTAAAACACTTGGATATTTTATTCACAACATATTCATATAATCCAAAACAGTAATTTGAAACGCTCAAAAATATCGTGATGTTTCATACACTTTAGTCTGAACCAATGGTAATATCGATATACAAACCAAACACGCATTAACATTAAAGGGCGAGGAGAGTTTTTAGTATCAAACTGGTTATATGTGAAAGAAAAACAAGTTATTTTGAAAGAATTTAATATGACAGTTAAAATCGGGATTATCAATAGATAATACATTTTTAATTTGATCTTGTATGAATTTATTCACGGACAGCAGAAAGTAAAGTGGCTAGTAATAATACGTTACTCGTCGTTATGTGCATTTTCGTACATTAATTTAATTGTAACAAATGTATTGTCTGAAACATGAACTAATATTAGATAAATTCGTTAATTGTTTTATCAGTATTTACAAATTGACATGTCTCTTACCATATTTTATTATTATCATTCCACTTACACACATATAAAGAAAATTATAATTGTAATTGCACGTATCCATGACAACCATTATATTAACTATAATATCAATTGAACTCATCACAACTGATGATCTATATACATACATATTACAACAAACTCACTTCATTTAAGATACATTTGATCATCTTTTTAATCGGTAATCAATATAGCTACTACTATCGAAATTTCTAAAAAAGGCACGCGAAAGAAAAGATTATAATTTCAAAATGGAAAGTTATAGAGGATAGTCGGGAATACATACCTGTGCGTGAAAAGTGGTTTTTCAAAATATCATCGATGATCAATTGAAAAATTGTTTTTTTAGTTATTTTACTAGTTCTCACTGGTGTCTTTTATATGTTATACAGAAAAAATCTTGAATTTTTTTGTAAATTTTTCTAGTAAATAATTTCAGAAAATAATTTTTATGCATAAATTGAATCCTGAAAACCGCACGCCGCAATGACTTTTCATTCAAAAATTATAAGCTTTTTTTTCTATGCGCCTTTTTTTATAAATTTCAATAGTGGTATTAAAGTAATAAGAAGACACTATATAGAAATATTAAGGAATAAATATTACATTTTAGAATTCTTCAGATATGCTGAATACATAGAAAAAATACGATATTTATCACTATATCAAATTCTAATTACTCATTTTTTTTCTGATATATTTCTAATCCAACAGCACTTCTATCTTTCGATACTGGAATGTCCGGTGAAACTTGAATAGTAAGTGTTGTTTGCATAAAATAAAAATTAAATATTGTATCTTAATATATGCGAAGATATATAATTGTTGATTAAAAATGTTTTTATTATTTTACACGTTCATTACTGTTACGAATTGTTGCCTATCGTTAATAGTGAGTCATAGTAAAGTACTGCATCACCCTTACACAATACACGCTTTATCTATCTTGCGTATATTTTACTCATTTACCCGATGGTGAAAAAATCATTTTTTTCATTCTTATAACTAAATCCATCATTACACCTTCAAGTATTATATTATAAATAATGCTACCCTTGAGTACATATATATGAAAAAAATGTTCCTATTGAAGCCGAAGATTACTTTTACACACTTCAGTTGACAATTTTTGAAATTGAAATGTAGTAGATAACAATAAATATTACGCTCCACTAAAGATTTCTTTATACATTTTATTCAATTTCCATATTCCAAACCTACTCATATTTTTTCATCATAACAGACATATATATGATGATTATTCATATTAATTTCAAATGTATGCATGCTATGAGAATTACATGTAAAAAATAGATAAATTACACTCATTCACCTAGTTTATTATAAGAAGCTTTATTTTTTAATATATATGTCATATGAATCAATATCACAAGGTGAACATCCAGTAACACTTTTATATTTATATAGAAATTTTTCTTTTTCTTAATGACTCAGTTTAAAAGAAGTAGATGAATGAATATTAATGCAAACGATAAAATACCCTCTTTTTTTTTGTCTGTATATACAGTGTATATTACACACGTCGTATTCTCTTTTTTTTCCTTTCTGTGCAGAACGAAAAATGTTTTATTTTCCTCTACTCCATTATAACCTAGTTATTTCTCGACACATTAACATTTTTCTTCAAAGAATAAAGGAAAAGAAAAAGCGTTGTTTTTTTTTATGCCTTTTTCTATTTCTTTTGTTGACTAGTATGTTTTTCATCTATCTTAAACTTTACTTGTCGTCGTTGCGAAGTACTGAAACGACCGACATCAATGTAATTATTTATCCTATCGTATAATATATAATTATGCTCAAAAAAAAATTTTTCTTATCAGGTAAAATAAAATTTTTATTTTTTTGTAGATTTATATTTTTTCAATAATGGAAAAAATCTTATCATCGAATACGACAGTTGCAAATCAAGAATTACTAAATCAATGTAAAATATGTGGATCACCAGCTAAATATTCTTATTTTGGTGTTATATCATGTAATTCATGTAAAATGTTTTTCAAACGAAATGCTGAACGAGGAGAAGTTAATAAAAAAAAGTTGAAATTTTTTTTTTAATTTTTATATTTAGAAAATATCGAAATGTAAATTTAATAATCGTTGTGAAACAACTATCAATAATCGACATGAATGTTCTTGTTGTCGTCTTAATAAATGTTTTCATAGTGGAATGCAAATTGAATTAATTCGACCTTCACATCCAAAAACAAGAGTAAAAAGAAAATTATCAACAGATTCAATAGAACAAACACAAATTGTATTAGCTAAATTAAATGAATGTACACAAGTAAGAATAAATAATTTATGATATAGAATATAATATGCGTTGAATAAGAAACAAAAAAATAATATATTATTTTTTCTATATTTATAGTTTCCAACTTTGAATTTATTAAATGCAGATCTTTCAACATTAACTGTTGATCAATGGAATCTTATATCGAATTTATCTCATTGTTATGATGACCATAGTGGATTATCCATAGGTGAACGTTATGTACGTGAACAACATGCTTTACCACCACGATTACGTTTTAAAACTACATCAATGATTGTTTTTATTGGAACAATATTTAATGAAGCTCAATTATTATACAAAAATAATCAAGATTTTCTTTCTCTATCTCTAGAGGATCGTTCGACTTTATTACATAGTACAACTGCACATACAGCTAGTCTTTCTTCAAATTTTATTTTTCATCAAATTGGTTTAATGGATTGTCCGACTTATTATAATTCGTTGGAAATAATAACTCATGCAAGTTTAATACCTACTGCTAAACGTATAGCAAATCGACTTGATTTTGATATTATTGTTATTAAATTAATGCTTGCTATTCTTTCATTTTCAACAATTAGTTATACATCTTATTCAAATAGTCCGCCAGTGAATTTATCAAATACTAAATTAATTCTAAAGATTCAAGATACATATATTGATCTAACATGGAGATATCTAGTTTATAAATATAATTATGAACAAGCTATTAAATGTTTTTCTGATCTTATACGATGTTTATTTGCTATTAATCAAGCTATGGTTGAAATAGAAGAAATTCAATGGTATACAAATATGGTCGATTCATTCGTTCAAACGACCGAACAAATTCTTATTGTTGATAATTAAATTATTTTATAGATTTTTTTCCGTTGTATGATCTGTTTCTATATGATGTCAAATATTTAATGTTCTGTTTTCAAATAAACGAAAAAAAAATATTTCATTTCTGACGACTATTAATAAAATATTTTAGCCATCAAAATACAGTTTACTATCCTGTTTTGCCCTAGGAAAAAAACGGAAATTTTTGTGGTATTTTTGATAAAAAATCGAGGTTTTTAATAAACGCGAAAAAAGCCATTTTTTGAAGATGTTTGAGTACAACTCTTGGAAAAGCAGTTAGGGAAATATCTCCTATATGTTTCAATGCATCTTTATCACGTGTTTCGAACGGGTAAAAGCAGCAGCGCTTCATCTTGTTCCTATAGGAAGTTATTCAAAAAATACGTTTATTTTGAAATGGACAGTAATATAGACTATTATATTAAAGAGTCTTTCAGGAAAGTTTAATATTTTTCTCTTTCTCGTAGAGAAGAGTCTAGTAAACATTAATTGTCTGATTCCTTGATTGTATGTCCGCAAGGTCAAAAAAACATCGAATACCGATTTTCCCGAAAACACATTTCTAGAGGTATTTTAATGCAGAGACTTCGAATCTGAAGTCAGTTTTTGAGATTGTTTGAATAAATAGTTTACTGACAGCGAAGACACATCGATTCTACGAGAAAGAACTGAGCAAGTCTCCAGACGAGTGTTACTTGTAAATTATTTGATTAAAAATAAGCGGATGATAGACAAAGACAAACTACGTTTTATTAACGATTGAATAGATGTTATCAATCTAAAGTTTTTTTTTTATTTAAATTCAATAATTGAATATCTATGATTTATATCGAATCTATGCTATTAGAAATAGTGAAATCGCTCAATTTTTACATATAGATTAATATGATGATCAATACAAGTGAAATAAAGGATAAAACTGAAGAGCGACTTTTTTTTT